TGCCGGCCCGTGCCGCTGGCTGTTGTGGTACCAGGCCCCCACCCATCATGCCGTGGGCCGTCATGAGGGATGCAGCGTGCCACCAGCCAGTGTGCTGGTGGCCATTGCAGCCCCTGGGGAGGCAACATGCCACTGGCAATCATTCTCGGGTGACGCAGTACCCCCTTGCCCAGCTAGGTGGTGACGCTGGACGCCCGGAACCATGGAAGCAGCCCCCACAGCCCGCTCATGACCTACGAAGCAATGAGTTTGGATGTGCAGCACCTCCTGGCCCGCCTGGGCATCACCAAGTGCATCCTCCTGGGACACAGCATGGGGGGCAAGACAGCCATGACGCTGGCCTTGCAGCGGGTTGGTGTGCCCACCAGCATGGCCTGTTGGCCCCCCAGGGCCTGCTGGTGGGAGTGGGCTCAGGGTGGTCCTGAGCAGGACTACAGGGTGGCTGCTCACAGAGCACAGCCGGCTGCTCCTTTTGCAGGACTCCTAGGATGCCATACGTATGGGGTTGGCACCTACAGGTGCTTTTCACCAGTGCTGTCATGTCCCGGAAGCCCAGAGAGGATGACTTTTCTCCATTACGGGTCTGTCATGCTGCCCCCCTCAGTGCTTCAGGGTAGGCGCTAGAAACAGCAAGACGTCTCCATCCCTATGGAGACCATCGGCCCGTGCTGTGCCCTGTCCTGGCAGCTCCCTGTTGCACTGATTGCATTAGAGATTTCATGCACCAAGACATGAGGAAATAGAAATTCAAGGAAGTGCATGTGAAGTTTTGCTGCTTGTGCTGCCCTCTGTCACAGCTCTTTGGTGGGCGAGGCAGGAGGGAACTAAAGGCCTTCTGGGGGGTCTGGCTGCGGGCGGAGCCCTGTGCGCTGTCCTGCTGCTCAGAGCAGGGCAGAGAGATCTAAACTCACTTCCAGCTGCTCTGCTTGTGTCCCCAGCCAGACCTGGTGGAGCGCCTGATCTCCGTAGATGTTAGTCCCAGCTCCACCGCAGCTGTGTCTGAATTTTCTGCCTACATTTCTGCCATGAAGTCAGTGAACATCCCCTATGGTCTGCCACGCTCTGCAGCCCGTCAGCTGGCTGATGATCAGCTGCGTCCTGTTGTCCAGGTAGGAGATTCCTCTGCTTGGATGGGGTTTCCTCTCAGATCCTGTCCCTGGGACCAGAGCACACACCTCTAGGGCCATGGGCCCAGCTGTACTCTTTCCACCCCTGCTCACTTAACAGCTCTGCTAAGTCACCAGGCCTACAGTGGTGCTGAATAACGTGACCGACACGCAGCACGCATATCCAGCAGAATGGGGTGCCTGGCATGGAAGGGAGGATGGAGAGTGCTGGCGCACCTTGAGGGCTTGTTGCTTCTACTGAAGAGCGTACAATCTGCTGGCATGTTCTCCATTTGTGGCAGATGGCACAGCTGAGACAGTTCCTTCTCACCAACCTGGTGGAGGTGGAGGGCCGCTATGTCTGGCGAGTAAACCTGGAGGCTATTTCCCATCACTTCTCAGATATCATGGACTTCCCTGTCTTCCACAAGCCGTATCCAGGCCCCACACTTTTCTTGGGAGGGTCCAACTCACCCTATATCAGGTGAGACTGGAGAGAGGCCTCTCAGAGGCTGTAGTTTGACTCCTTGCTCTCTGCTTCTGCAGAGAGAGCAGAGAGCTGCCAAGGGTGGGAGGAAGCTCCAGAGATGGGGAAGGTCCTCGAACGAGCTCTGTGCCTCCAACGGCTAGTGCCACCAACACTCTAGAGGGCAAGGGGAGTCTAGGGGGAGTCCTGGGCTTCATTTGCAAGGAAGGGAGATGTGGTCAGACCTAGGATTCCTTGCCTGGGGAGTGTGAGGGAAGACACCTGGTTGGACCTCTGACCATGCTTCCCATGGTGTGTTCTCTTGTCATTCAGCCCCAAAGACTACCCGGAGATCCAGCGCCTCTTCCCAAAGGCAGATATCCAGTTCATTGAAGGTGCGGGTCACATAGTCCATCAAGATAAATTTGAAGAATTCATCACTGCCATCCTCAATTTCCTGCCAGCACCACAGAGCCAGGGACCAGGGCTTCCGTGAGCACCACATGGGACCTGAGTAGTTTTGGGAGATGAAGCAGGGCTCCTGGGCAGTGTGAGAAGAACCCTCCGCCCTGTCACCCCCTTTGCAGTGTGATCCTGCCTGCAGGGCCATCTTCCACCCCAGGTTGGATAGAACTGGAGCTGAAATGCCCTCCCTTGCCCAGCCCTCTGACCTCTCCCTGCCGCCTCGCGGGGATGCAGGGTGTCACTAGCCCAGGACACTGTCCTTCTTGAGCCCCTGTCCCAGGGGCTGCACTCAAGTGTCTCAAATGTTATAAGGGGGCAGGAGAGCCCTCAGGGAGGGTGCTCTGGTCTGTCGGGGTGGCTTTGCCCTTTTGCATTGGGCCCAGAATGTTTTTCTGCTTCTGGACCACCCAGTTGCAGAGCTGCCTGTGACTGTGCAGAACTTGCAATAAAGCTGAATCGATGCTGAGGCAGAAAACAGTCTGAATGTGGTCATGGAGGATAAAGAAGGTGCTAGCAGGCACAGGAAATGGGTTCTTGTTTATCTGAGGGGACACTGGTGGGAGGCTAGAGCTGCACTGGGCCCATAACACACCAAGCTCGAGGAGCATCACATGTAAGATGCAAATTTAAGGATCTTTCATGGCTCCCAGAGGGAAACACACCCTTTCCTATGCCTTCCTATGAAGCATCTCGTCCTGTGGCAGAGGATGTAGCATAGAGAGACCCTCCTCTGTTCTTCTGGGGATCAAAGCCCAGCGCTGTGACCTTGCTTTGCCCAGGTTTCGGAAGGAGCCACAGTGACATCTCCAGGGAAGGAAGTGCAAGCCTGGGGCTTTCTGCACCCTTTGCGTGTACCTGTGCACACTGGACATGCCTCCGCTCAGCCACCAGCCAAAGGCAAATGTGGCAGGAGGGGGCCATGTTCCGCAGCCGGGGGAAGTGCAGGATGAAGTGTAAGTGGGGGCCCACCTGGCTGCCTGAAGCCTGCCAGGATCGAGTGCAATGGTCAAGGGCAGACCCTGGCCACGGGTGCATCAAAGGACAGAACTGAGGAGAAAGCGAGAGGAGGTGTGCAGTCTGCAACTAATAAAGCACATGCTAGTTCAGAGGTTAAATGATAAAGCCAGTGTTGATGATGCCTCAGGAGAGGAAGGGGAATCAGTGTCTCACTCCAGAGTGAGAAGCCTGGTTGATGGCACACTCCCGTCTTGGAGCTGACTCCAGGGACCAGCCACTTGGGGTGGACAAATTCATGGAGGAAAGCAGCTGTGCACTGTTACCAGGGAAACCAGAGGGGTCTTTCCCCCCCGCTTCAGAGTCGTTGCATGGAGTTTGTTTTTTTTGTCTGATCTGTATGTAGGACACGAGGAACAGGAGAATCAGTCTCTGGCCCTGGGCTGCTTGGAAAGATAGGGTGAAGCCTGTGGTGCGAGAGAGCAAGGGGTGTCTCAAGCTAGCAGCAGCCAAGGCACTAATGCTGTGAGTCTTACTGTCCAAGGCAGAGGGATGATTGGGGACTGGTGGAAGCTGCCTCCTGAGCAGGGAGATATTTTGAGACTGCGAGGGGATGTTGCAGGAGAGAACAGCTGGAACATGGACACCCAACCTGCTGCTTTGGGCTTGGGGCCTGTGCTCAGAAATCCATTGGGGTGACTGCCTGAGGGCAGGTTTTGCCTTTTTGTTCTTTCCAAAACCAGCTGCATGGGTAGGACATACAGACTTTTTACATAACAGGCTTATTACCATGCAGTGAGAGCAGCCATAGACAGCAGGCTTAGCCTAAGGGGATGCAGACATGGAGAGCATGTAGATCCAGGACAAAGACTGGAAATGCAGAGGGAAAGGAGGGTAAGAGACATCTCTGCTGCCCTCTGAGCCAGAATGGACAAACCCTAAATCACACACAACTTTGGGAGAGGACCTGGCTGCCTGGTCTCTCCTCTGGCAGCTGTGCACTTGGATGAATCAGGCATTGGAGAAAACGGAGCAAACAAGAGGAGATGTTGCTCTGCCAATGTGCAGGGGAAGCAGACATGCACTGAGCAGTCTGTCTCCAGGAGCCCAGCCCCAGGGAGCATGTCTGCTCATCCAGCCCCAAACACAGTCCCCTCCTCCTCAAGCTTTCTCTGATTTCACACCTCCTGCCCAGTGTCCCAGGAGAAGGTGACATAACAGCAACTACTGCCAGCTGTAATGATCACCAACTCACTAATGGTTGAGGGGAGGTGCAATCTGCTGTGAAAATCCCTTTATTAGACAATAGGTAAAGTTAGAGACAAGGAGAAAGTGGCACTGGGGGCGATGGATAATATCTGTCACACTTGGGGACGTGGTCACATTGGAAGCTCTGTTTTGGGATGGTTAACAGACAGGTTAACCAGCTTTGCATTTAGTGTTCTGGTGCCAGTTATCTTTGCTGTTCTCTAACAAGAGTGTGTACCGTTTGCGGTTGTTTAGAAGCCACGAAAGGAAGTGAGGCGACTACAGACAATTTTATTTCAGGGATATTCTTGTCATCTAGCAGAAGGGGCAAAAGCAGTTGGTTTGGCAATTCACTATGTTTCTGTAGAGAAGATAGACTGTTCTATATAGCACATTGCTGGGGGCTGAACTTTGTGGATGCGAAGCTGGTTTTGGCCTTTCTTCTTGCCACTTCTCTGAAAATTGCATCTCTCTGGAGCAGGGCTGTGTTCACCTTGAGTGTATGTCTTCCACTCTGTTACGACCAAATTCAAACACTTTCTCTCGTGAGTGTCTTATTTTTCAGCTGTTAAGACTATTAGAGAAACTGCTGAGTTCGGGGCTACTGAAACCCTTCCCTGAGCACCTGTCTTTTAAACACCCAGCTTGGAGATGGGGAGAGAGTCAGGCCACTGCTTGGTCCCTGCTAAAAGCACACAAGCCCTTTGGATATACAGCCAGAGCCATGTGGTCTGGAGAATTTCCCCCCAGCTTATCCCCTCTAGCAAGGATGATGGGTTTGGGGCACAGACAAAAGGCATCTACAGAGGTGTCAGATAAAGATACTCACCACCGGGAGGAGATCAGTGGCCTGGGAAGAGATAGAACTTTTTGATCAGTGTAGTTCGTTCTTCTGCTGGCAACTGCAGAGGAAATTTTTCAAAGGAACTTTGGACCTGAGGTGAGAGGAACAGTGGGGAAAATGAGAGCAGCTACATGCCCAGCACTTGGAATCAGGTACAGAGCATCCCCAGGACCCTGTCTGGTGGTGGGAGGGATGCTGTGGGCTGCCACAGTTACACGCCAAGCCCTTGTGTGCCCACCATGTGGCAGGACTCTGATGCCTCTGGAGATCAAGCTGATTTTCCAGGCCAAACTGGAGGACCTGGACCTCTTTCTGACAGAGCTTGCTCCTTAGGGGCCTGCAGAGAAATGGCCTGCCCTGGCTAGAGCTCTGCTTTGAGCAGGGCTCTCTTCCCAGAGCAGTAATTCTGACCATTAGCATGGCTGCGTCTCCTGGCACATACATACGTTTAACAAAATCTCACCTTTCGGAAGATTTCACGCAAGTCGCTCTTATAGGCACAGCTTCTAAATTGCTCTATCACCTTTTGGATGAAAAAAGAGCCAGTTTGGGGGCTTCTCCAGGTGACAGTATCTGAGGAGAGAGAAGGTGTTAGGTATATGCAGTGGTATCCCCCTCTGCAACAGTGACTAACGCTGCGGAGGCAGAGCAGTACAGTGATTTCACCTTGCTCTGAGCACCTGGACCGAGGTAGAGGAGGGCTCCCACTAAGTCTGGGGCTGTGGGAAGGAAGGGGGATTGATAGTGCTGAGGGAATCACAGGCTGAGGAGGGCCTAAGAGATGGGACTGTTGCCACGAGCACAGAGGCTACAAGGGCTCTGGACAGGACACGGGGCTACAGCAGCAGACTTGGGAACTTTCTTGGAGATCGTTATGTTTGGTTCATCTGAACCACAGGCCAAAGAGCGGGAAAAGGATGGGCTAGGGGATCCTAGGGAAGCTAGATGCGATATGCAATTTTCTCCACCTATCTGTCCTCTCCCTGCTCCCACCCACTTTCCTGGTGCATGCCAAGTGCCAGACTGACATGGCTTGGAGCCATCCGCAACCCAGCTGATCACTATGGGAGATTACTCCCTCCCTGCCAACCACTGTGTTAAGATAAATCTACTTGGAAAGGAGTCCAGGTAGAGCCAGTGGGGAGGTCTGTGACGGGGGCAAGGAAAGGAGGCAGGGCAGGTTTCCTCTTTGGGGAGCACTGTGGTGGGAGGGTGCTCCAATGCATGTGGAAGAATAGCCCCGAGCTAAGGCAGCATCAGGAGGGCACAAAAGCCTGGATGTAGTGCTGCTGACCCTGAGAGGGATCTGCGAGCATCCTGGAGCAGCTGTGCAATGTGGCACTGAGGGGACACTGCGTTCTCCAGCTGTCACTGGAGCGATGCCTGAACGGCACGTGCCAGAGCATCACACAGAAGGGAAACCCGGCCAACCTGCCCTGAGGAGGAGGTGTGTGCAGGAGGCCCATGAAGTCAGGAATAGGGGTCTCATACGCCCAACTTGCCCCCCTCAGCTGGAACCCATCTCTGGGAACTGGTTACCAGGGGTGCAGGAATGTAAACAGGCAAAATCACTCTCCAGGTGTACTTGACGGATTGCATCATCTTCCAGCCCTGAAGTGGTCACGGGAGTCAAGCTCGGACCGGTCGTCTCAGGGTTGTTGAAGTCTCTCACCAGCACAGACCCAGCCTTCTCTAGGGAAGCAGGACTGCCTGTCAGTGATGGGGCCTCCCATTCCCACCCCACACTAAGGGCTCACCTGCCCTTGAAGAGCCCAGCCTGCTCATTCACTTCACATCCCCCTTATGCTTGGGACTCACCTCCACGGCAAGCCTGGATGATGAGCACTTTGGGTTTGCCCAGCAGCACCTGGCAGTGCTTGTTGTTGAAGGTCTCATAGATGGTGTCGAGGGAAAGGATGTCTGTGGTCTTGTCTCTGCTCTTGGTCCCGCAGATCCCAGCCCTGACCCCATGGGACATGAGCACCAGGAAGGTGCTGTCAGACGTCTGGTGCTCCTTGCAACTGGCAAAATCCTTCAAGACCTTAGCCATCTCCTACAAACAACCAGGAGGTAGGAGCATCAGTGACCTGCAGCCAGCTATGCAGAGATCCAGCCGCCAGCTGTGACCAGGAGCCACTGCCCTGGGGACAGAGGTGTTCCTGTGGTGTCTGAGATTGCCCGCTAGCAGATCCCTCCTGAGCCCCCCTGCCACCAACACAGGCAAGGGTCTCTGCATCACTCCTGGGCCAGGTGCTGGCTGCTTTGTGCAATACCTGGGAAGTTAAGTTGCAGTGGATTTCCACCTTGTAGCCCAGTCCTTCCAGCAGCTTAGTCATCCCCTCTATATCTTTTTCAGCCCCATACCGCTTTCTCAAGTACTCAAACTCAATGTTGCAGATGAGCAGGGCCCTGCGGGTTCGCGTTTCCAGCGGCAGGTATATGGGATAGATCTGTAAGTAGAGAGAGAGGTTGGGCTCAGCTGTGGGTGGGTGCAGGGGGTTTCTTGGGAGGCAGCTAATAGCCTAGCACCCACACCTCTGTGCCCCCAGGGCATCTCCCCAAAGTTTTTGCCCTGCTCCCAGGACAGCGAGGGTCCTGGCTCCCCTTAGCAGCCCCTGCCTGCTCTGGTGGGTGGTAGGGCTGTGCTCGCAGACCTCCTCTCCTGCACCCACAGCACCTGATTTCCCTCCTTCTCACAGATGCGTTGGTACTCGCTCAGGGAGCACTGCTGGATCCACTGCTGGCCCTGGATGGTGGCAGAGGGTCCGGGGGTGACCTCAGTGTTGGGGCAGGCTAGCTGCATGCAAGGGGGCCCTGGAAGCACAAAGTCCTGCAGTTACACCAGGAAGCGGCTGCAGCAGAAAGGGACTGTCCCTTGTGCACAGGCAAGTGGAGCTGCGCTCTGTCCCTCAGGGGTCCTTATTCAGCTGCACTGGGGGGATTGTCACCCCAGGGAGTCCTGTCCCTGCAGCGTGGCAAGGAGGACACAGTGCCACAGTACAGTAACACTGGGGACTCCCAACAGCCCCACCAAGGCCAAGCCTCCCTCTGGGACCCCAGCGGGCAGCAGAAGGAGCCTCAGCATGTCCAGGGCCTGGCAAATCCCAGCAGGAAGACCCAGGGTAAGCTGCGACCCTGCATCGCTCACCTGAGTCAGCGTCCAGACCCAGCTCTTCTGCCAAGAGGCCATCGCGCTGCCTGAGGCTGTCAATAAGGATCTTGCTGGCCTTGTGGCCCTTCAGGCGCACGCTGTCAATGAGGCAGCGGGCCTTGTCAGCACGCAGTGTGTAGTTGTCCTGCACCACGTCCACCTCCTCGGAGCTCAGCACCCGCTGGGCTAGCAGGTCGTCCAGGAGCCCGGGAATCACATGCTTCCCCACACGCTCCACGAAAGCCTTCCGCACCTCCAGGAGCTGCTTGTCTGCAGGACAGCCCCATCAGTGCGGGGACCCGCCCACGCCACAGCTCCGGCTGCCCCGTTGCCCACGCCAGGTGCTGCTACCCACCCCCATCACCCACTCCGGCTGCTCCCCTGGGTGATCTCCCTTCCCCATCGCCCACCCCAGGTGCTGCTGCACCATCACCCACCCTGGGTGCTCCCCCTTCCCTGTCACGAACTCTGGGTGCTCTCCCTCCCCCAATCACTCAGCCCAAGTGCTCCCCTGGGTGCTCCCCTCCCTCATCTTCCACCCCAGGTGCTTCTCCCCCCGTTGCCCACCTTCTCTTTTCCCACGCACCAGCAGAAAGTTCCCCGAGGGGACATGTCCCCGAGTGCCTGGGACTCCGAGGCTAGCCCTGCCCTGCCCTGCCCCTGCCTCACCCCACGCGTCGGGCTGGCCAGGGTGAGCAGGACCCCAGCAGGCCCCGGTTCTGCTACTGAGCGTGCACTTACCCGCCATCACTCCTCAGTGTGCACCACCCAAAGGACAGCCCTCCGACGATGGCCTGAGCTGCCGTTTCCCCTGCAAGGAAAAACGGAAGTAAGTTAATAATATGCTCACTTCCTGCCTCCCCGCTTGGGCCCTACTCCTGGGCCCGTTGCGGTACGCCATCCAAACCCCTGTGGGTCCTGCTTGATCTAGCATGTGCCCATGAGCCCTGTGGCCCTTTGCAGCCAGGCAGCAACACTGATTTCATCCTGCACATTCTCAGCATGTTTCTTCCACTCCCGGGGCACCACTAACGTGTTTAACTTGCTCTGGCACTGTGCCACCCAGCGCTTACCCACTGGCTAAGGGGGAGGCTCCCAGCCCTCCCTGCCTCTTTCAGAGATGGGCATGGGGCAGGTCAGAGGGGCAGGTGGCCTCGACGCGCTGTCCCATGCCGGTCAGCAGTGGGACAGGGCAGGTGCTGGAGCACCCAGGCGGCAGACACCAACAGCAGGAGAGCCGCTAAGAGCTGCTCAAGTCCGGCCTTTGGCAGGGGGCTGGCTGTACAGGCAGAAGCAGCTGCGATCTCAGCTCCTGGCCCCAGGGCCAGGCAGATGCAGCCATCCTCTCGGCCAAGGACCAACCTCCCCTTTGCACACACCTTTGCACCGCGGCCTCCTCCGCCACCGCCAGGCTGGAGCAGCAACCCTCCAAACCTGCCTGGGGCTGAGTGAGGCTCTTCCCTTCCTCGCGCCGCGCTGTCCAGGTGTCTGCGGCGAGAAGGCACTCTTCAGCTTCATCTGCCCGAGGGTAGGTCAGCCCCCCTCCTGCTGCGGGGCGGCCCCATGCATCCTGCGGGTCCTCGGGCTGGAGAGGAGCCCGCCCGAGACGCAGCGTCCGCTCTGTAAGAAAGCCTGAGGTTGCCCCGTGAGTGAATTAGCGGAGCGGGGGTGAGAGTCGTGAGAACGGATGGTCACTGAGGTCAGAAGCGATACGTTATTTGCGTGACTCCGGCCGTTTAGTCGTGGACAGGTGAAGCATACAGTGAGACCTCAGTGCAAAGCGCAGAAATAACGTTGCGGATGGGAAAACATAGGGAAGCGTTGTGGGGAAAAGGGACCTGACATCCAGCCCCTTTGGAAGCGTAAAAGCTGCAAACAGCAGCTAAATATGCATCACGCAAGCTGTTAAAGGCTGCACAGAGCAGTGTTTAGTGATAGAACAAGGAGGCATTAAGTTACTTTGGGAACATGTAATATATTTTAATTAGTCTAAATAAACTCTAAATAATATAATTGGAAATATCCATGTGGATGCGCTCCTCCTTATTCAGGCCTGTTAGGGAGGACTGCGACGCCGTGGCGAGGCGAAGGCCAGGAGAGGAGCGCAGGGCACGGTCCCTGCTGCCCCCGGTAACAGGAGCAGCAGCCCAGCACGGGGCCGAGCCGGGCCCAAAGGCTCCGGTTCCAACGGCTGAGCCCCCTCCGGCGCAGCAGCAGCAGCAGCGTCCCCTCCCGCCTCGGGCCCCCCGCCCCCGCGGACGCCGGGTC